GAGGAAATGCATAATGGCCGCCACGTAGTTTTCAGGAAGCGAACTTTTCGCTGCAAACTTTGTGATTAATGGTGGTGCTGCAGTTGAAAAAGCAAGTCGTCGGATAAATAATGCTAGGCCGATTCAAGATGGCCTGGCAGCAATTCCTGACGAAGCAGCAGCCATACTTGAATCAACTCAATAACCCCAGCTCAACAGATTTTCTAGAAAATACTATTACGCTTTTACACTGAGGCGTTAAAAGCTCTATTTTCTTATTGATTATATTCATGTTATTGTAAGAAAGACTAACGCTGTTTGGAATCAAGAGGAAGCAATGATGTACGCTGCTGCTGCTATTACAACAACAGTAACAACAAGAACTACTACTAGTAAAATTAAAATCGTAGTATTGATAATTGTAGGAATAGCCGTTTCTATATTTACAATGTTCAGCATTCAGTAACCGAAAAATTAGTGTTCTGGAGTTCTTGTCTTAGAAGGATCAGAGCGAGTTTTCCGAGCTGCTGTACCGTTGTCATCCTCATTAAACCCATTTAATTCTTCCTAGATCCTCTGCCCTGTCTTTAGATTGATTTTAAAAAAATGTAAAATGTTCGTATTGGAACTTCCGACGCGAATGCCAAACAGTACAGCATGCCGTTTCCAAATTTCTGGTAGAGTTGTGCTCTTTTTCCCTTGTTGCCTCATTGTGCTCTTTTTCTCACAGACGCTACCCAACCAACCCTACTAAGCTGTGTAGTAAAGAAAATCAATAAAAGAATAACGCGCAAGCGGGAAATTAAAAAAAATATAAAATAGCGATAATTTAATCATCGCACAATATATATATATATATATATATATATATATATATATATATATAAACAAACAGAGATTTGTACCCGAAGAACCGATACATAGCTTTAAATAAAGTGGACGTCATATCTAACGCAGCTTGAGGCCAATGCTTTGTCAAAGATATTCGTTGACAATATTAGATATAAATGAATACAAAGACTACTTAATGAAGTGAATGAGTAGGTCAGCCTATAAGAAGAACAACTCAGTCAGTCCATGAGTCTGCAAATGGCCAACATTTGCTGGACAATCATGCTTGTGCCGCCGAGTACGAAAACGCGTGGTTTTCAGTTTTACAGAGCGCTCGATCAATACACCATCTTCGAGTTTCTAAAGCCGTTTATATTAAGTGTCAACAACCCAGTCTGTGTAGACACAAGGAACACTTTTTACGTTCCTTACGTCTTTTGGAATGTCTGTGAGTTCCCCCTTTTTTCTATTTTATATAACTATATGGAACTATTTATTTACATCTTCCCTCGTTGCAATTGTTATCTTTTTAGCGTTATACGTTTTTTGTTATTTCTTAGTCATATGCTTTCATTATTTTCTTTGTGAGTATAACTCTTATATATATATATAAAGATCTATTTTCTAAAGATAGGCTGTCCTATTTTCATAAAAATCCTGTTGTTTGTAAATTCAAATGCCGTTGCGACGCGGTATACATAGAACGTACCGATCTAAGGCTGGAAAAAAGAGTGGTCCAGCATGTTCCTGCTTATGTACGTGCAAGCAGTCTAGGGTAGCCTATAAGTAGAACAACTCAGTCAGTCCATGAGTCAGAAATTGGCCAACTGGACAATGATGCTTGTGCCGCTGAGTAGGAAGACACGTGGTTTTCAGTTTTACAGAGCGCTTGATCAATACACCATCTTCGAGTTTCTGAAGCCGTTTATATTAAGTGTCAGCAACCCAGTCTGGGCAGACAGAAGGAACACTTTTTACGTTCCTTACGTGCTTTGGAGGTCCGTGAGTTCCCTCTACTTCTATTTTATATACTCTTGTGGAGTTATTTATTTACATCTCCTCTCGTTCAATTTTAATTTATATAATTAAAATTTGTCTTTTAATCGAGTTTCACCTTTCCCTCCTCATTCAGTTTATTGTCTTTGTATTCGTTTATATCAAATATTGTCAATGAATATCTTTGACAAAGCGTTGGCCGAAAGCTGCCTTAGATATGACGTCCACTTTATTTAAAGCTATATATCAGTTCCTCAGGTACAAATCTATATATATATCCTTGTATATTAAAGACATTTTTATGTTTAACGTTCTTTTTTTTTATATATACAAGTATTTAAGTAAATGCTCTGTTTATAATAAACAGTATTAAATAACATTTACCAGCCTGAATGTCCGAGAAATTTTCATAGAATACTTGTATCTATAAAAAAAGAACGTTAAACATAAAAATGTCTTTAAGAAATAAATTGTTGGACTTTGTCCATTTCTTAATATATATATCCTTGTGTATATTAGCTGTTTCTTTATAATGGAAATTTGCCGCATTTATTGTGCGTCAATTGAGACTTGGTGTATTTTAAAAATCTTTCTCGTAAATAAATTGATGACGTTTTCCATCTTTCATTTGTGGATGTAGTAAGATGGAACGTCAGCCTCCTGAGCATTTAATTTGTCTTTTAATCGAGTTCCACCTTTCCCTCCTCATTTACTTAAAGCGTTGGCCGAAAGGTGCCTTAGGTATGACGTCCACTTTATTTAAAACTATATATATATATATATATATACATATATATATATATATATATATATATATGTGTGTGTGTGTGTGTGTGTGTGTGTGTGTGTATTTAGTTATTTATTTTCTTTTTAAAAATATGATTCCATCACGACACAGAAAATTTCCATGTTTCAAAACTGAAATTAAATTTATAAATTTAATTATAAAAATGAAACTTAAAATCCATAGTCTCGCTCCATTGTCAAGCGATGTTAGGAATAAACTTTCAAAGAAATTTACTTATTTTATTAGCGCAGACAATACTGATATTATGAGTTGTTAAGCTTAAGGAAAATCTATTTTAATTTAGGTGTGGTTGGGTTTTAATTTCCCTTGACAACATATGTATCCAGTTTATGTTACTTACAAAGTCAGGTTAAGTTTAAGTTGACAATGGAACGAGACTATGGATTTTAAGTTTAATTTTTATAATTAAATTTTAAATTTTTTATATAATTATATATAAATATTATATCGATATATATCGATATTATTATATATATAACTAAATTAATAAATTATATATATATTATAATTATTTTCTTTATTTTAAACATATGGAATCATATTTTTGAGAAAGCAAATAATTTTATTTTTTCTAAACATTGTGGAATCATTGTTTTTTATATAAAAAAAATAATTATAAGAACATTTATAAATCTTACAGTTTTTATTATTTTAATATATATATATTTTATATATATAAAAAATAACTTGACCCGAATAAAAAAATCAAATTAATTATTTATAAAACATTTAAGACTTAACCTTGTTCTTTCCAATTAAGTTAAAATTATATACGAACATTATCTATGATATGCCCCTATATATACTGTATATCAAACCGGATATATAATATTATATATATCCATCTTACGTTACATCTATCTGATTACAGCTCCATGAGAACCATTTAAACACACACACAAATTTACCCAACTCCATTAGGAACATACTAGTAGAAAACACCTGCTAAAAAGACTAAAAAATAATGGAAGCTTTTATAATAAAAAAGAAAAAGCCAACTCGTAACAACCGTATTTGGAAATTAAAAACATCCCTACCACACACTAAGACACACACCGAACGCACACACTCAATTAAGCTGAAAAATCGAATCATCCTTGATAATGGGTAAAGGCGTAGCCGAAAGCGCTCGAAAATATAAAATATTTGGACAGTTTTTACACACCCCTTGTCCAGAAAAAGAAAGCTCTTGTTCGAACACAAGAATAATTAAATAAAAAGTTAACCGTAGTACTTTGTCTATCGTTTTTAATGAAACGGATATATATATATATATAGAGAGAGAGAGAGAGAGGCCAGTTAGTTTAGACATTTCTGAACGTGATAGGATTATGACTATAACTATATATCCAGACTAAGACGGCGACGCTTACGACAAAGGCAAAACAACAATAAGTTTAGCAATAATCTCAGCTTAGGAAAATTTCTTCCGGATTAACTACATAAAAAAGATTGACAAAATAAAGAAAAAACGGAAAATAGAGCTTAAACTGGTAAACTGCATGATCTGTGAATATAGAATTTTTCCTCCAGAAAATGAGTCATGACAGAGTAGGAACTATCATAGTCTGTGAACTGTGCAAATGAAGTGGCTTCGACGATTGGTGTCATAATAAGTACAAACATTGTCGTAGAAATAAATCTAGAAAAATTCTTCAAGTAAAATAAAACGTGAACTATTAATCGTTTTTTCATATGATTAATGTCTTTTTCATTATTCTGTTAGAAGAGAGTACATGCTGGCTGAATAATATCCGGAGGATGAACGACGGCAGGCATGAGAAGAACATTCCCTATGCAGTTCTTTCAAACGGAAAGAGAAAAACGGACTACCCTTAATTTCGATTTAAGGGCGTTTGTAAATATTATGGTAATTTACCCACGCACGTATGAAAACTGCCTTTTGGAGGGCGACGTTTCTAGCAGTCAGCTCTGGTGTCAGACCGAACATTCATGCTGTGACACTCTCGTTTGTATATATTTGTCTTACTGTTTCTGTTAAGATATTTGTTTAACTTAATTCCTCTCTTGTGTCTTTATTTCTGGCTCTAACAAGGCTACAACAGTAAACAACATCGAAAAGACGCATTCAATAGCAGCAATCAATTCGCAGTATCCTAATGATATATGGATACATCTTGGCTCATTAGGGAGAGAAACAAAAAGAACAAGGAAGAATTATAAACAGCGGGAAAGCAAGACTACTTTCTTAAGATCATTGCGGTAGGTAGGTACGTGCAAGAATTTTTGGCATGTCTGGCTCTAACACAGTGGATAAACATTGATTTTACAAGTCTGTGATGCGTTATGATTTCGACATTCAGTTTGAAATCGGCTTTCAGGCAGGAGCGTGGATGGGATAATTCTGAATAGGAAGGGAAAATACCATGTCATGGAAGTGGAGACGTCAGTGGGGCGAGAGATGAAACTGAATGAGAAATGAGAGAAATACCAGGACCTTGCTCTGGAGCTGAGAAGGATGTGGAGCATGATTTTGGAATCGTGCCTATGATAAGAAATTTTTTTAGAATTGTACCAAAATGCTAGAGTCACGTGTAGACAACCTGAAAAATCTGTGGCGGGGATGATACGGCACAGATGACGGTGTTGCTCGGCCTGCGAAGATACTGGGGAAACGGAAGGATATCTTGACGTATTTGCTCTTATTCAAGCTACTGAAATGGCCGCCGGGAATTTAGCTTAATAATAATAACAAATAATTCTACAGTTTACAGGTTGACATTTAACATATTCTCTCTGCATGCTTTAAATATTCATTAGATTTCCATAACTCATATACTGTATATTGTGTTATAATAATTACCAAATAGTTTTTTATGACTTCTGTTTGCATTAATTATGTAAGAGCGGTTCTCTTAGAAATTCCACGTTTGTTTTGCTAATTTTTACTATTGAAATTAATCCTTCCGGGCTAGCATATTTCATATTACTACATCATTTCACAGAAGCAATCGATAAACGCACGTGAGTGTTATCGCTTAATCTATCTATCTATCTATCTATCTATCTATCTATCTTTTTTTTTCTTTCTTTCTAGACAACGCATATATACAGCTTCAACGCACCCGGGAATGAGGCTTGCAGGAAGTTTAAAAGAAGTCGTATGCAATTTTTAAACATAACGTCAAAAACAAAAACACGCCGTTGAAGCATTAATAAACATTTTAAACACATTGTGTTTTCTTTTCGTTTCTTAAATCGTGCTTTTCTCTAAGTGTTGAGAAATATTAGAAAAGCGACATCAACCATTTTGATTGTTTAATAATAATAATAATAATAACCGGAATCGACATATGTTGCAAAGCGACCTACAAAGGTGGTAAACTAACAAAAAACACTGATTTAAAAACTAGACCAAGATGATACATACAAATACTTAGGAATTGATGAAGGAGACAGAATACAACATTCAATTATGAAGAAAAAAGATCCGAAAAGAATATTACAGAAGAGTGCGTTTGGTACTAGAAAGTGAATTTAATGGGATCAATAAAATGAAGGCTATCAACACCTTAACTATACCCGTAGTAACATACAATATTAAATCGAAGTTGAATGACATTAAGAGATTGAAAATAAAACCCAACAGACCAGATATTATCATAAAAGACAAGAAATTCAGGAGGTGTATGCTTATTTACATAGCATTACTATCTGTGATAAACCACTCCATGAAAATTATCGAGAAATTGTCCAAATACAACGAACTGGAAATTGAGATTAATAGGATGTGAGGAATGGAGAGTGAGACCGTATCAATGTGGCTTTGTAAGAAACGGAATGGACAATTTTATTATCAGTGTCCCAGGTAACATCAACATACAAATTTTCTTTCATCCTAATAGGAACATCCCATATACTCATATACTAAGAAAGTGCTATCAATTAAATGACATTTCTCCAATAGGGCCTAAGGATAACAGTGTGGAACCGACGCTACAGGATACAAAGCAGAAAACATAACATACACAAAAGGTTGTACGGTGTTGGCACCCACTGAATATAAAACCCGGCATGACAGAGTGGGCCAATATCTGCACTGGAAAATCTGCAATTTCTACGGGAAGAAAACTGAAAGAAACTGGTATGAACACCACCCAGACCCGGTTACGGAGATAGGACCTGTTACAATTGTATGGGACTACACAATACACACTGACAGAACAATCAAGGCCAACCGCCCAGATATTGTTATTAAAGACCACAAACAAAAACGGTGCCTCCTTATTGATATGGCAGTCCCTGCTGACTGCAATGTATCTTTGAAGATATTCAAAAAGTTGTCAAAGTACAAGGACCTTGAAATAGAAATCGCGAAAATGTGGCATATGGGAACATCAACAATCCCTGTTGTAGTTGGAGCCCTAGGACTGGTTGGAAAAGATTCCAGTAGACTAATTGAACGGATTCCTGGAAGTCCATGCCTCAAGGAGATACAGAAAATTGTTCTGACAAGTACAGCCCACACCTTACGAAGGACTTTATCTATGTAATAATTTTTTTTTTTTTTTTTTTTTTTTCAGTGGAAAGTGTCATGACGCCGTTTCTAACTTTAGGTCCCTGGGCGGGACCCGGAAAGAAATGTGTAAACGCCAGAAATCAAAGAAAATAATAATAATAATAATAATAATAATAATAATAATAATGAAGGAAAGCAAACTTAAAGAAATTCGTATGAGCATCACCCACCCCCGTTTACAGAGATAGGACCTGTAAGAATTTTTATTTATTCACAATATATGCAGACAGATCAATGAAAGCTAATCGCTCAGACATCGTTATTAGAGACAGCGAAAGCAAAATATGTCTCTTTATTGACATGTACGTCTTTGCAGATTGCAATATATCTTTGAAGATCTTTTAAAAAAACTATCAAAACACAAGGATCTTGAAATCTCAAAAATATGACATATGAGAACAATTCCAGTTGTATTTGGAGTCCTCGGATTGGTTGGGAAAGATTCCAATAGACAGATTGAAGGCATTCCTGGTAGCCAATGCCTTGAAATAACAAAAAAATATTCTCACGAGTACAGCCCGCACCTTACGAAGGACTTTATGTAAGATATGTAAGACTTTTTTTTTTCAAAAATGCTCAGTGTGAAATGTCATGATGCCATTTCTGATCTTAGGTCTCCTGCCAGGAGACGGAAAGAAATGAGTACACACCAGAAATCAAAAGACATATAATAATAATAATAATAATAATAATAATAATAATAATAATAATAATAATAAACCTTGTTTCTATACCAGTCATGGCTTTCACGGCATCTGAGCTTAATTAATTTCGGATTTTAAAACGTACATTTTTTGACTTGGCGAATGAAAAATAATTGTCCTATTCAATACCAGTGCTTCGCTTTGTCACTTGCCTGACATTAACCAATAAGAGCTGAGGCACTGTGCGTCTGAGATGAGGTATTATGCACACTATTTATATTATTCAGACTCAGTGGAAAATGTCATGATTGGGACCCGGAAAGAAATGAGTACACACCAGAAACGAAAGGAAATAATAATAATAATAATAATAATACTCGAAAATGTGGCATATGGGAACATCAACAATCCCTGTTGTGGTTGGAGCCCTAGGACTGGTTGGAAAAGATTGCAGTAGACTAATTGAAGGGATTCCTGGAAGTCCATGCCTCAAGGAGATACAAAAAATTGTTCTGACAAGTACAGCCCACACCTTACGAAGGGCTTTATCTATGTAATTTAATTTTTTTCTTTTTTGTTTGTCAGTGGAAAGTGTCATGACGCCATTTTTAACCTTAGGTCCCCTGGGCAGGACCCGGAAAGAAATGGGTAAACGCCAGAAATCAAAGAAATAATAAAAAATAATAATAATAATAATTTGAATATTGTAAGTTGGCGCAGAAGAAGAATTGAGATGTTAACATGGGAAATCTGACCCATTGGCTTACTCGACCTGAAGAGATTTATAAATGGACACCAACTGCAACATTACACGAGGCTTTTATGTTCGCTACTGTTTTGTGCAAGTTTATAAGAATTAGTGTCATGACAACTATACAGGGCTTGGTACAATTGTATCCAGCAGTATTTAACCACTAATAATAATAGTAATAATAATAATTATAGGAATAGTAATAAAATCGAATGTTATATATTGAATGAGAAGAGGAACAAAAATTGACATAATTTTCGTGGGAAATGTAAACGCAGAGGAATTGTTCAAACGTCTGAAATATGCACAAAGCTGTTCCCTCTCCATGCACAAAAATAAAAATCTATGAGACTTTGAAATGCAAGAACCCAGACCAGATCTTGTATGCCAAGTGGAAATTTGTCAAGTAATGGCAGTGATCGTGCCAGCAGGCTACATAATAATCTTGGAAGATACTCAAAAGCAGGAATTGAAATATGGGTCTACATGAGGGCCGAAAAATGGACTCATAATTATCAGCCAACTTGAATCATTCATGAAGAGCTTCTTTTTTTTTTTTTTTTTTAACAGTTAACAGACTTAGAAATCTGTGAATGCATTGGAACCTTCCCGCCAAATGTGTATTAAAATAGAAGGAGGATATTTGAAGACTGAATAGTAATAATAATCAACTGGTTAGCTCTTCCAGTTGGAAGAACACTGTACTTGCTACTCTGTTGGAAGTCCAAAATCAGTAAATATCAAATAATAATAATAATAATAATAATAATAATAATATTTTAAAGCGATAACCTAATTTTATAACAATTCCAGGGAACAATCAAAAGCTAACTGCCTAGACATCAGGAATAGGCCACAAGAATAGTTTCTTATTGATATTTTCAACTGGTCTCTGTTGGAAGCCCATGTTACTACTGGTGTTAAAATCAGTGATATCAAATAATAATAATAATAATAATAATAATAATAATAATAATAATATATAATAATAATATGAATCGTGTTACCACCCTTCCTTCATTTTTTTGCAGGCTTTTCGACCATGTTAATGCGATAACCTATAACAATTTTATAGCCTTTTACAATATACAGAGAGAGAACAATCAAAGCTAACCGCGGTGGTTCAGACATCGGGATCAAAGCCCAAGATGAAGAACAGCATATGCTTTCTTAAGCCTTAAGCCGATCCTCCCAAAACCATGGCAGTTGCTGTTGAACTCGAGGTCGACCACTCAACAGTCGTTCGCCAGATTGCATAAACGATAATCTTTCAAAATCTACTTCTGCGCAACAAAAATTACAAGGATTTGAAGTGAAGATCTCAAAATGAGGCATATCAATAATTCCAGTTAGAGTTCACCGGTCTCATCCATCGGATTGAATGGAAAAGGTTCAAATTGACGATAGACTCCATTTGGTCAATATGAAGGGATTCTTCCATGACAACGCTCGCCGCATGTTGTTCAACTGTGTTAAACAAAAATAAAATCTGCCTCAATATTCACTGAAAACCGATTATCAGCATCTCTTATTGCACGAAAAATGCAAAAGCCGA